ACCGGTCTTAACTGCTGCCTTGCCTATAGTGATGCGCTGTGGAAGAATGAGTGTGACAGCTGCTGGGGAATCCTACTACACCATGAGGTCACGTGGTCCACTGAGGCCCCTCCCCTCAGTGTCACTAATGCTGGAGGCTTAGAGGAGGAGGAAACGGAGAGGAAGGGAACTGTGTGAGCCCAGATTATACTACCCAAGCAGGAGCACACAAGGTAGGAATGAAGGAAATACCGCTCCTCTAAAAAATTCCCTACTCGTGTCAATGGAAGGAACAAAAACGGAATTACAAAGAAGAAGAGATTTTCCAGAGGACACTGCTGTCTCAGCAGATGTTCTGGAGTGATTGGACTTGTACCATAAGTGATACAGCACCTCAGTGTGTGAAGGGAATCACCGTCAACATCCTATTGACCTGACGGGTTCACGAGCCATGCTGGTGACCACTTCCTGTTGAACATCATGACCCAGGTGAGGATGGTCTTATCCAGAGACTTCTGATGTTCCAGTTGTCCCATTCAGTGATTTGTTTGAACATACAGATTATCCCCCGTGTGAACAGCATTCTGGGAAAGATTATTGTTTATTTACATGTGCAGCAGGAGGGTAGCACCAGTCACAAACTACTGTATCTGAGGAGGGGTGTGACTGCAGACAGAAACAAAACCCTACTTCAGAAGCTGCTGTGGTGTACTAACTTTAAAAAGATAACAGTCCCTCAGAATAACAGACCATCTGCTAAAGGCTGCAAAGCTGCAGAGCGTTGAAGCTAACAGTGTCTAGTTTAGCTTTAAAGGTTGCTGAGAAACCACGTTTTAGTGATTATGTCTGATTCTAGTGGGTCACTCTGAGTGTTTCATGCAGCCTGAACATGAAATAGTCTCCTACACCTATCTCCTGCTTTAGCTTCTGATAGAAAATAGTCTCCTACACCTATCTCCTGCTTTAGCTTCTGATAGAAAATAGTCTCCTACACCTATCTCCTGCTTTAGCTTCTGATAGAAAATAGTCTCCTACACCTATCTCCTGCTTTAGCTTCTGATAGAAAACAAACTC